CTGTAACCAAGAAAGTAGAGCGAATCATTATTCCTTAAACAAAAACGGTGGTGGGGGTGGGAGGAGGTGGAAGAAGAGGAGAAGAAGAAGCACAGTAAGAGCAAAGCTAGATCCTGGCAAAATGGTTGTCTGCACCGCTCTAAGCGCGGCTTCCCGTGCCCCACAACCCGCAACCCCCAGTGACCTTTGAGCACACGGGCTTGGGGTTTCTGAGTTGATTCATGTTTGCCTGTTTTACCACAGTTGGACACTTCCATTTCATCTTTTCATGGGGGGAATGAGCAGAGTTTTCAGGAAACAATATGAGCCACCACTCTTTTCAATTGCGGGGGGGGGGAATTTGGCGTAGAGAGCAAGATGTTCATAAGGGCATCTGTTACCTCTCCTAATTAGTGACATTTCAATCTTATGTTCTCTGACTTCTTTTTTACAGTTTTTATCAAAACCTTCCCTACCTCTTGCAAACCTAATTCTATTTTAATGCCCACTATTAAGATAATGAACTGGGATGGCAGCACACCATCAAATGAGAGAATGTCTGGAGTTTATCACCACTAACTCACACTGCTGGGGACTTCAGAGAAACACATTCCTTGTAGAGATTTCTTGGGGTGGCTTTTTTTTCCCTTTGGCTCTTTATGCAAAGTCTAAGGTCAAGGCAAGGTCACAGCTATACAGTAATTGAACTTATAATATTGCTTTCTCCAGCTAGTCCTGAAAATTTATAATAAACATCTAATTAAGTCATTTAAGTGTCTTAATAGCCTTATTTTTTACAATTTTTGCAGGCTCTCAAAAAGTGGCTAGCCACTGAACTTTTTTTTAAGTGGTTAGTACAAGCCCTAGTGAAATTTCTAACTCTTAAGATCCATTTGTATTGTGAAATGCTAAGAATTACATGTCAAATACAGAAAGTGAGTGGGACCTATTAGATTCTGAAAAAGTAAAGTGCTTTTAGTTATCAACTCAGATTTGAATAGATAGAACATGAGCAGCACATAAAAAAATACAATGAAAAGTTTAATAATGATTAAAGGGCCCACAGTCCAGTATGCATTCTAGTTTGTATGTCTGTCCATTCAGGAAGGAAAATAGTTTTTTTAAAAAATTACTAAACAGAGAGGGACAGGTTTTTAAAATAAAAATACATGCTTCAGGGATGCCTGGGTGGCTCAGTTGGGTTAAGCCTCTGCCTTCAGCCCAGGTCATGATCTCAGGGACCTGGGATGGAGCCCTGCATCGGGCTCTCTGCTCAGTGGGGAGCCTGCTTCCCCCGCCTCTGTGCCTGCCTCTCTGCCTACTTGTGATCTCTCTCTCTCTCTGTCAAATAAATAAATAAAATCTTGAAAAAAAAATACATGCTTCACGACATTTTAAGATTCTCAATATCCTATATCCTTAAGTTTTTATTATCCAAAAAGTAATTAAAGTCAATAATGAAACTGGAATCTAACTAAAAGGGCACCATTAGTGCTAACTCTCATTGGCAATGTATATTCTAACAGTTCTTGTATATGAAGTCCCCGAACTGGCTAATAAAAATATTTAAAACATAGATCTACAACAAATTGTGTTGCAAATCAGGTTATCATTATCTTGTATAAACCATGAAAATTGGAATCATGTGAGCAGAAGGTTAGATTAATTCTCCATTCTCATTATAAGCACAGGTGTAGCACAAACACCATGTGAAATAACCAATTAAAATGAAAAAAAAATCTGCTTTTTCATTAGCTGCCTTCACTGCATGACCAATTAGAAAATTATTTAATATTAATATTCCACATATACCAAAAGTAATTTTCATAGTAACTAACATAGGTAAAAGAGCAAAAAACCAGCTCTTTATCTATGGTACTGTTTATCGTCTGTAGGCTTTTAGAGGAAAGGAACTCTGGTAACATTTTTTAAAAGTCCCTTTAAAAACACATTATTTTGTGGGTATGATTTATACTATTCATCTAAAAATAGGAAGGACACTTTTTAACAGACGAGAAGCCGAGGCCCAGAGAAATTAAGTGACTTATTTGAGGTCGCATGTAACTCAAGGGATGTTAATAACTTGCTGAATGACACACGGCTGGCAAATGGTAGTGAACACCCCTTCCCCCAACATCCTGACAAGAGCGTGGCCATTACTGTGTCACCCATCTAGAATATTCTGAACGAAATAGATATCCAAGAATGAGCTGGTTTTGAGCCAGTCACCACTGGCAACAACCCTACTGTTGAGTCTGGAAATAAGCATGACTGAACACTTTGTAGACTGGGAATTTTGATGACTGTACTGTTCGTGCATATGGACAAAGATAAGGCTGCGCATCAGAAGATTCAGTGACTTATCTGTATTCTAAAGCTTGCTTCCTTCACACTCATACTTTCAGATTTCCAAAGACCAGCTCATAATAACCAACTCAGGCTTGAATCTATGACTATTAAACCCAAGGAATCGTAGAAAAATTAAACCTCAGGTTTGAAAAGGGCTTTCACTGTCACCTGGGTTGGTCACTGACATGAATCATCTCTCTGATATCCCCACCAAATAGGTAGGTAGCCTCTGCTGGATTGTTTCTAATAAAGCACTTGCTACCTCACCTGAAAGTGCACTCCAGCTATGGAAGGTGACTATGAGAAGGTTCTGCATTACTCAATCTGAAATCCTTTCACCAGGACAACTCCTTGGGGGAATTTAAACAATTCTAATCTCACTTCTTCAGGATGGCCTTCAAATATTTAAACTATAGCCATCATGCATCATGTGCCATAGGCTTCTCTCCAGGTTTAATATCCATGACTCCTTTTCTTGCTTGTTTGTTTTGAGAGAGAGAGAGAGAGCACAGAGCAGAGGGGCAGAGGGAGAAGGAGAGAGAATCTTACGCTGGTTCCATGCCCAGCACAAAGCCCAATGCGGGCTCCATCTCACCACCCTGAGATCATGACCTGAGCCAAAGTCAGGAGTCAGATTCTTAAGCAACTGAGCCACCCAGGCACCTCAAACATCCATGATTCTTAACATGTTCCTTCTAGAATGAAAGTCCTTCTTGGGTTTTGAGTCTACTCACCACTTGGGCCGTACCCACTGCTCAGTATATTGAGAGGTTTGTCTGTGTGCCTCTAAAGGTCTTCAGAGGACATCATTAAAAGCAATTAGTCCACACTTGCTCTTGTCCCCATGTAGAGAATGAATACCTCATCACAGCCTTTTAGCTAAGGGGCCTCAGGTACCAGGTGCTACTTTCTTCCCTTTTGGTGGCAATTGCAATTTGTTGCTATTGACAACACAGACGTAGGCCACCTATAGGATATGTAGATATAAAGGTGAGAATCCATGCATTTAATAAAATAAAAATTTAAGAAGCTGAAAATCTCAGAACCCCTCATCACTTTGTCCAAACTGACCACATTAGTAATATGCTGAGAACTTCTCACTTTTGAAAGCGAATTTAAAACAATTGCTGAATATAATGAATAGTATCAATACATATAGCACAGAGTAAACTCTCAGAATCTTATTGGATTATGCTTCCTATACTTACATAAAACACTGATAATATTATCTAGGGTCATGGCAGACATCTTTATCTGAAAGTAACTAAGTAAATGGCAAAAGATTTTATATTTTGAAACAATGTCATCTCTTCGATTTTAAAACCATCTCAACATTTGGTTCTATTTAGTGTATTTTATCCTAGACTGTCTTCTATATACTCTCTTTGGAATTATGCTACATACAGCAAAGCCATGTGTTTAGATGGCTTCGGGGTGAATTCAGATACAAAAACATTTTCCTTCTGGGCAAAGTAATAAAATGACATTCTTGCTCCTCCCACTATAAGTCAAACAGAGGTCAGTTCCCCCATCCCTGTATCTGTTTAAATAAACTGGTCCAGCTGTTTGTTTCTAAAATGCCCTTTGACCTTGCATCTCATCCTCCCTGCTTTTGTGATAGAATCCTTTACTTTCCATTGTGGAAGATTCTAGATTCTAGATTCAAGAATTTTCTAAACGCTGAATCAAAAAAAAAAGGACCTTTAGGTTTTTTATGCAAACTTACATGAACATATTCCCTTCTTAAAACACTCATTTCGAGAAGCATCAGTAAAACAGTTATTTTAAGCTCATATGTGGTGTGTGTGTTCAAATATATATCTATATTTATGTGTGAATACATAAATATATATTAGAACTTTAACATAAGAAGAAACAATGTTTTTGAAGAGAAAAGAAAACGAGAATGATAAAATTCCAATCCGAACGTCCAATTAAAAAAAATCTATTCTCCAACAACCACAAAACAGTTTAAGACAAAATATATCCATGAAATATACACAACCTTTAGTCTTTTCCATATTAATAAGCCCTCTTTAAAAAGTCTGTTAGTTTAAAGTTTGTTTTTTTTTTTTTTTAAACAATTGATGTCCAAACATTACAGGCCTTGAAACTTAGATGTACACTGTCAGATATACAATGTATTTTTAAGGTTGGGAAACATCCTGTTGCCTTTCCATATTATATCCCAAACATCAGCATATATATATATTTTTTTATAAATCCTATTTTGCTTTGAAAACAATGTTCTTTTGTGAAGTACTTTTTTAGAACTGGACACCCTGTAGGTGGTAAAAGACTGAATTAGGGAAAGAATTCTTATCTTTCCTTTTTTCATTGCATCATGGATTAGAATTTCTTCCGTGACCAAACTATTCCCTTTCTCAAAACAAGTTGTTTTACCAAGGATGGCAAGAAAATGGATTGGCCTTATAGCTTTGTTCCATGTCAACATAAACAGTTTTTACCCAGTTATTTGTTTAGGACTAGAGCCATACTAAGAGGGAATGGGAGGTTGAAAGGGTTGCAAAATCTTAAAAATTCTGAGACATAGGATCATCTCAAAATTGAATTTCTTTCATTTTTAAAATAGGAACCAGACAAGGAGAATGGGAGATGAATCCTGAGTTATGCTAAAAAGAAATACAGGAAGTTTTTCTTCATTCTTTCTT